TGCTCGGCGGGAAGTTGCTTCTCCCTCTCCCACTCCCCCTGCTTGTGTTCCCTCTCTCGCAGTCTCTCTCTCTGTCAAATAAATAAATAAAATCTAAAAAAATAAAAAAAAATAAAAATCTATGCCCGTGTAAGACCTGGGAAAGCCACTGGGATAAAGATTCTCAGCCCAGGGTTTCCAAACAGGTGTCCTTCTGTGAGTAGAAGCAGCAATACTGATTGGCCGTAAAAATCAGGCATCAGGCATTTCCCTTCAACATCAGATGTCATGGTGATAAAAGTCTCTCTAAAAAATCAAGTCTGATTAAATCCTGTCCCTGCTTTCCGCCGTTCAGGGTGCACTGGGAGAAATTGGAGCTGTTAAGTACGGTAGAGAGGCGCCATCTTGCACAACCCACAGCACCTCCAGCATTTCTGCTGCTCAGCAAAACCAAACTGCTTACAACGCTTCCAGTCTCTGTGCATCTTCCTGGAACAACCTCTCCCCTGACCTCCCACACATACACACGAGCAACTTTTCTTTGTCCCATTCCTTCCCCATCTGGCATGTGCTTGTGCCTCCCACAATATCCATCAGGTGACACCCCATCTTCAAAGCTATCCCCGGCCCCAGCCCCTGATAAGAGTTAGTGAATTCTTCCTCTGTGCCCCCACCCACCCACCCACCAGACTGCTACCTCCACTGCTGCAAGTGTGGGCAGGATCAGGGGCAGTGGGTCTAGGGATCAGAGTCCAGGGAATGTAGGGTGCAGAGGCCCAGAGAGTGGTCCAGGAAGCAGCATGCTGGGAAAAGTCACATCAAAGGTGTCTTTGAAAAATCCCCTCAGCACCTGAGGGTTCACACTTGAGGTGTAAGGCAGAACCCAGAGAAATAGGGTGAAGCTGAAGGAAGGTTCCAGACTAGGCCCGAGTGGCTGTGAATCCTAGAGGCCGGGCCTAGAGACCACTCCTTCCTCAGACCCCTTCCCTCGATCTTCCCTATTCAAGGGACTCTAAAGTGGGTATCCAGAGACGATTCCTCAGGCTCATACCACTCCCTGCTCCATCCATCTAACAAAACGATTAGTAAATTTTCATCTACCTGACCTTGGCCCGGCCAGTTCTTCAAAGTCTCATTTCTGAAGGCTTACATTGCTTGGAATACTTAAAAACGTTTCAGAGTGAAGAGGAGCTTGGAGGTAAAAGAAAAAGTGGACGTCCCCTTTCTCTCATAAACTTCAATACAGTTTGCTCATATGAGAATCCACAAAGTCGTTTTAGGAGTATTACAGTTCCAGTTGTACATTAAATTCCTTATTACTAAAAACTCTTGCTGTTTTATGTCTCAAATTCTAAATCTATTTTATCCTTTAGTGACATTTACTTGAGATTAAAGAGGAACTGAATGGGACTGTAAACTGAAAAATGGGTAAAAGATACAGCTGTACATTGAAAGATTCTACCAAAAATATTTTCTTGGTATGACATTGTCTAGCAAAGTTTTCTGAATATATATGATGATGATACTTAACTTTTTCTTTCTTTTTTTTTGATACTTAACTTTTTCATCCATGTGACCAGCTATAATCATTCTTTTCTACATAACAGAGATCCATAATCAAATAAAAGCATAAAACAACTTTAAGGACAAGATTAAAAGTTCTTAACTGCAATATTAATTGCAACGTTGAAGTTTTCTTCCAGTCAACTCCAAATCCATGCCCTCCAAATCCATGTTCAGGGAACACATTTCTATGTATCTCTCTTAACAGTTATAGATCTTATTGGCAAGTAAAATTCTTGGGCAGCATACCTTCCCAAAAATTAGAGCGGATTTTGTTCACAGATATTAGTTTATCAATTGTTCACCAACTTCATCAGCTGAAGACATTTAATGGCTTACATACCACTTTCTATATATTTTATTCATGTTTTTATAGAATCACATTTCATTACCTTCAAGCGGAGGCTGGCCTGTGGCTGCAGCTGTAGGATAAGAGAGGCCTCACACACCACACAGATGGGAGTGTTCATGGGCACCATGTTTCCACATTCTGCACATAAGCCCATCTGCACAAAGAAAGAGGTTTGTCTTGGGATGCAAAAACTGAAGGTATAAGTAGATCTTCGAATATAAGATTTAATTTGCTTTTGGGGTGCCTGCGTGGCTCAGTCAGTTAAGCATCTGGCTTCGGCTCAGGTCATGATCCCGGAGTCCTGGGATCAAGTTCCGCATTGGGCTCCCTGCTGAGCGGGGGAGTCTGCTTCTCTCTCTCCCTCTGCCCTTCCCCCCACTTGTGCTCTCTCTCTCTCTCTCTCTCTCAAATAAATAAATAAAATCTTAAGAAAAAGATTTAATTTGCTTTTGTAAAAAATGTTTAAAAATAATTACCTTTATTCTTATTTTTTTATATTGTGAGTAAGAACATGTTTATTGTGGAAAATAGAAATGTAGAAAAAAAAAAGAAAGAAAAAATATCTTACAGGACAATGGAGTAAGGAAACCCACAAATCCTCTCTCCAAAAAGCAATTATAAAGTTGGATAAAACTGTCATTTCAGATTCAAAAAACCATTCCAGATTCTGAAAGTCACCAATTTCAGGTAAGAACACTACAAGTCCATGTGGTTCCTGCTTGAGGCTGTACCCATCCTCCTCTAGCTCTGTCAGTGTGGCAGCCTCACTGGGGCAGGACAGGCTGTGAAAACCAGCAGCTTCATAGCTGCTGCTGGGCAGGGCTCACTTGATTTGGGGCACTGTTAAGATGACAATCTCAGTGGCAAGAAAACAGGGAGGGCCAGTGGCTCTATAAGCCTGAAATCAGCATTCTGTTTGAGGCAACTAGTCAGGGATTTAACAGAAAGTTCCAGGAGCTAAGTCAAATATAGGGTGCTTGATAAGCTCGCCACATATCTTTAGTTGACTGGAAGATATGCACATGCATAGCATAAACCAGAGTGGGAGTAAGCCACTCATACATCGCTGGCTGATGGAGGCTACACATGGAGATGCAAGGGAGTTCAGTATAAAGTAAAAGCTGAGGCTGACTTGGAAGTAGCCTGAAGCTTGAATGTTCGACCCAGCCCACACATAGATCCATCAGCAGAGAGTGGAAGGCTTACTGGACCAAGGTATTTGAGTATAACTTCTGGCCAATCCTCAGTTGAGCACTAAGCTATGCAGACGCAGGGGTGACCCCAGGCTTAAAAATAAAAACAAGAACAAAAAACCTGATATCAGTGGCCACACATTTCAGGGGAGACAAACATGAGAAAAAAAATTAATCCCAGTAAACAAAAATAAAAATAGCAGAAAGAAAAAGTAAGAAAACGTTAGAATCCAGAGTTGTTACAATGTATCATCTAAGATGTCCAGAATTAAAGAAAAAAATTATGAGGCACACAAAAAACAAGAAAGTGTGACCTAAACTCAGGGAGAAAAAAAACAGTTGATAGATATAGTATCCCCAGATGTTGGATTTACAAAGATTTCAAAACAGCTATTATAAAACTGTTCAAAGAACTCAAGGAAACCATGTTTAAAGGATAAAGAAAGTATGATGGCAATGTTTCAAAAAAATAGGGACTCTCAATAAAGACATAGAAATTATTTTTTAAAAAGGACCGTATCAAAACCTGGAGTTTAAAATTAAAATAACTGAAATGGGAAAAAAAAAAAATTTCCAGAGGGACTCCATAGCAGATCAGAGATTGACAGAAGAAAGAACTGGTGAACATGAATATGTTCAACAGAAATTTTCCAATCTGAAGAACAGAGAGAAAAAGGATGGAAGAAAATAAACCATCAAACACCTGTGGGACAACATATCAACATACATGTAATAGGAGTTTTAGAAGGAAGGGAGAGAGAAGAAAAGGCAAAAAAAAAAAAAAAGAGAGAGAGAATTTGAAGAAATAATAGCCAAAAACTTCCCACATTTGAAGAAAAACATTAATCTATAGCTCCAAGAAAATCAATTCCAAGAAAGATAAACAGAAAGAGATCCACATTTAGGCACACTATAGTCAAATTGCTGAATGTCAGAGAAAGAGAAAAATCTTAAAAGTAGCAAGAGAAAAAACTACTTATCACATATCAAAAACCATGGAGACCAGAGGTAGGAGAATAATGTCTTCAAAGGACTGAAATTAAAAATAACTGTCGGGCGCCTGGGTGGCTCAGTTGGTTAAGCAACTGCCTTCGGCTCAGGTCATGGTCCTGGAGTCCCGGGATCGAGTCCCGCGTCGGGCTCCCTGCTCAGCGGGGAGTCTGCTTCTCCCTCTGACCCTCCCCCCTCTCATGCTCTCTCTATCTCATTCTCTCTCTCAAATAAATAAATAAAAAATCTTTAAAAAAAAAAAATAACTGTCAAATAAGGGGCTTCTGGGTGGCTCAGTCTGTTAAGCGTCTCACTCTTGATTTCAGCTCAGGTCATGATCTCAGGGTTGTGAGATCAAGCCCTGCATCGGGCTCCATGCTCAGTGGGGTGCCTGCTTGAGATTCTCCCTCTACCCCTGCCCCTCCCTTTCCCCTCTCTCTCTCAAATAAATAAATCCTTAAAAATAACTGTCAAACAAGAATTCTACATCCAGTAAAATTATCCTTCAAAAGAGGATGCAAAATAAATATTATCATAGACAAAGACAGAGAGAAATGGCTAGCAGATGTGCCTTTAGTAAAGGAAGTCCACCAGGCTGAAACTACGTGACACTAGATGATAACCTGAGTTCACAGGAAAGAAATGAAGAAATGAGAGACCAGATTTAATAAATATGTGAGTAAATATAAATGAGTACATAAACATTTTTTCTTATCTTTAAATGACATAAGATCATGTAACACTGCATTTTCAGTTTATTACATATATAGATGTAATATATATGACGATATATATTACAGAAAAGATAAATAAATGGGGAGGAAAAGGAGTATGGCTGTTGACCATTGGATAGCAAAGAAGTTCAACTGGGGTGACATAGACCTGAACTGGCAAGCAAAAAGCAAAAACCTGGGTCCAATGAAACCTGTTTGGAAATCTCCCTCTGGGGAGCTGGTAGAACATGCTGGGAAGGCTGTACAGGCATGCTGCTATAACTTGCCGGCAAACTGCCCACTGGGGTGCCTGAGGACTGTCTGGGAGCTGGCTGGGGTGCCAGTGAAACTCACTGAGAAGCTGTTCGTGGGATGTTACCAAAACACAATGGGGCTCAGCAGAACTGGGTTCCTGCAGGTTAGCTGAGCACCGTCAGAGCAAAAAGAGAGGAAAGCATACCAGAACCAGGAAGAAAGGCCAAGTCCATTCTCCTGCAGTGTCCCTCCAGCAGCAATGTTCCTCTACTAACACAATTAACATCTAGCTAGCTGGCACAGGAGAAATGTTAAAAGGGTCCAGCTCCAGGACCCACGAGGCACGGCAATGAAGGGTGGATCTAGAGCTGTAAGGTGCACTTCTCCATCTGTCTAATGAGACTCTGAGTGTCTTGGATTAAGTTTACCACTTTAAATATTTGTAATCTTGGGG